CCCCCCCCCCCCCATCTCGGGCTTCCAGCCTCAACCTCAGCCCCTCCCCTCCTACCCATTCACATCTGGGAGGCCACGTGGTGCTTCAGTCAGGAATATTTGCTCATCCATCTACCCAGGACACACGCAGGGTTCTTTATTAAATAGCAGGAATTGTGGTGCCCTGCACCACATCAGCAACGTGGCTTCCAGGGGAAATAAATTGTTGGCTTCTCTCTCATCCATCACTGTGCAGGAGCCCGGAAAGGAAGGAAGAAAGGCCTGGGCTGTGCTCTCTCCCAGCCAGCCTCTCCCAGGCCCCATCCCTCTGGTTCCCTTCCCCCTTGCAAGCCAAACCTTCATACAATACCACTTACTTCTTGTTCTTAGCACCTCTCACAGCTGTAGTTAGTGCTATTGTAATTATTTATATGCTTGGCTCTTTTATTATTTTATTTTTAAGTCATCTCTACACCCAACGTGGGGCTTGAACTCAAAATCTCAAGATTAAGAGTCACATGCCCTACCGACTGAGCCACCCAGGTGCCCTTGCGATTAGTTCTTCAATGTCTGCCCTCCCCCAAAGGCCTTCAGGTTCGTAAGTTCCGGGCTGGTGTCCACCTCGTTCACCTCTGTCTCTTCAGCACCTAGCACGTTGTAAGCATTCAATAAAATGTTTTAAAGACATTGAGTAAACAAGGGTGAGTCTGTCTCTCAGTCCCCTGCAGTGCTGAGAACTGAAGCTGAAGGGTGTACGCATTAGGATCTACCTGGGCTCCTCTGGGAAACCTGCTTTGGGTAAGGGCTGAGGCATGGGACAAAAGGGAAGGATTGTCTCACCAAAGTATTGGCCTCTATACAAAGTCGAAGGGCTGGGGTCATTCTTGCTGAGGAAAAGCAAAGAAGTTGGAGCTGGTGAACACTGAGCTATATCCCTCCTCCTTGTCTCACCAGCCACATTCAGAGCCTCCAGACAGAAAAGGAGTGGGTGTATGGAGGGGGGAGAGACAGATAGACAGGCCAACAGACTGACTGGGGGTATGTGGGCTAGGGCTGCTCTATCAGAGCGCGTGTGCATGAACTCCGGGGTCCCCTGGTGGGTAGAGTGAATGAGCCGGCTGGCAAGCGTTAGGGCGAGGAAGAGGTGGCCGAGAGTTGAGTGTGAGCAGAGGCAGATGGGAGCATAAGTGGGGAAGAAAGGGAGCAATTTATCCGAGCAGCAGGCACTCCTTGCGTGAGACAAAGCAGCTCCGATGCTGGGTCCGCTACGGGCGACTACGACAGCAGTGAGAAATGCCTGTAATTAGGAGGCTGGCAGTTCTCTGGGCCTCAGCCCAGAGTGACTATGCAGCAAGAATTTCTGAGCCAAGTTGAGCCAGGTGATGGAGGAGACACGGTCAACACCACTCTAGTTCCATCCCCCACGGTGCCTGCCCCACCCTCTTCTCATTGTCTGCCCTACTATGACCCTCACTCTCCCCAAACATCACTGACTCTTCCTTCCTCTGAGGTCCCAGACCCTGGACACGCCCCTCAGGCCAGACAGATCTTCATGTCCAAGGAGAGCAGTGCATTAATTCTTCCACTAGTGCGTGGACCTGGTCTGGTGAGGGCCCACCCCTCCGGGCCTCTCTGCTTTCCTTCTGGGTCCCCCGCCTTCCTTCTCGGATTCCCAAGAGTTGATGGGCAGACTTGGAAGAAAAAACACTCCCATTCCTGTTTTTCCACTTCAAGCCCGATATGTCGTGCCCCTCTAGGTTTCCGTGTGATGTGCGAGACGTCTGCCAGAGCACTGGCAGATTTTCACTTTCAAACCTAATCTTACGACCCTGTTTTGGCGCCACTCTGAACTTCCTGCATTTTAGCCAAATGACAAATGCACTCTGCAGCGCGCAGAGCCAAATGCTCTGAACAAGGGAGGGGTTACAGAGTGCCTGGTGGCCAGGGTCTCTGCACGGTGAGTTCTGCTTTGGTGAGTAGGACCGGGGCAGGGGTTTGGGAAAGGCAGGCTTTCTTCAGGGAGGATCTGCACCTGTGGGAGATGAGTGCCAGGGAAGAGGGTTTGTGAGTCCGACCTTGAAGAGGCCCTATTGGTAGGTGGAGGAGGTAGTTTCCTCTGTGAATCCAGAAATCCTCTGTAACATGGCAGGGAGATGGCTGGGGATCCCAGATCAAAGTGATCCAGCCCTTGACGTATCATTTCCGTGAAGGACTTTACCACCAACTGGTCCCTAGCCAGCTGTCCACCACAACCTGCAGCCAGGCTCCTAGGAATGCAGACATTTCCACCAGTGACCGTGGAGTTCCCGCCTCACCTCTCAAGGCCGGTTTCATCTCTGACAAGCCACTTCCCAGAGAGTCAGAGGGCCTTCCATGGGTCACTCCCAGGACCCTCACTCATTCCAGCTACAGGACAATACTTGCAGTCAGGAAGGAGGGTCACTGGGGTCTGAGATGAACTCACCCCACCCCAACACCGCTTCTCTTCCCGAACTGATGGAACCGCTGCTGCTGTTGCCTCATCTAAGCTTTTCCAAGAAGATCAGACCTTTCTCTGAAAATATTTTATTGATAAATTAACTCTGAAAGCGTTCACCTCCCACCCAACTGCTGTAGAGTCTCCTAGATGAGCTATGGACCCTTCTATGGGGAAGGATCACATGGAGGACAGGGAGGCTCACTCATACAGGAATGGGATTCCTGGGTATGGCAGAGGTGGGTTTGGGGACTGAAGCCGGTCTCGAGGTCCTCTGAGGACAGCCCCTCTCACTCAGCACCAGAGTGGGGAGTGGTGGTCAGGAGTGGAGCACCTTGGGGCTTTATTGCTGGTGAATGCCAAGGAAAGTGGGACCCCTGCCAGCCTAGAATTGCAGCAGAGGGCATCAGAGCCCAGGGCTCCAGAGGAGGTGGCACTAATTCCCAATCAACAGAGCCTGGCTGCTGACCCACCCACCCAGGGACCCCTGGATGGAGAAGGAAGCGGGGAGAGGTATCTGAGCCAGGCAGGATTGAGGAAGGGTTACAGTGTGCAGGTCTCGGGCAGAGCAGGCGCCAGGAGGGGGCGTAGGCTGGTGCACCTAGGGGGGGCGCCTCTTCACAGGTCTATGGTGTCGCTGCCCACGCTCAGCTCGTCGATCTGTCGGCAGGCGTCCAGGAATTGCTCCTGCAGCAAAGCTTCTGCGGCCTGCAGCTCAAGAGTAGGCTCTGGGGAGTCGCGGGAGGGGGGGGACAGGGCCTGGTAAGAGCCTGAGCCCGGGAGGCTAGGGCTGCTTCCCGAGGGCCGCGGGGGACTGAGGACGCAGACCAGCGGACAGCGTGGAGGCCTGTCGGGGCTGGAGCATAGCAGCATGGACGAGCTGTCCCTCGAAAGTCCGCACAGTGAGCCGGAAGAGGCGCTGCTGCCCGCGGGCCAGGCCCCGGGAGAGGGGAGCTCCTGCGGTGCTGGAGAGCCAAGGGCCTCCTCAGACCTCTCATTGGGTCCGGCCCCGGTCTTCGCCCCCAACGAGGCGGTGCGGTAGAGGCCCAGCCCAGGCAAGGCTTCCCCGTAGGCAGGGCCCTGGAAAAGGCCGGGAGTGAGCAGGGCCTCGCTGCAGAGGGCCTCCTCAATGCTGCGCCGCAGGTTGATTGGGGAGGGCGGGCGGAAATCCACGGTGTAATCGCTGCAGGGGGAGGAGGCCGGAGAAGGGGCCGGGTTGGCCGCCGCGCCTTCGAAGCCCCGGCAGCCGCCTCCCTGGAGTAGGAGGTCGGGGCCGGGCCCCGCCAGGGCGCACAGCTGCAGCAGCTCCGCGTCGCCACGCGCGATGGCGCCACCCAGGGGCTCCTTGTCGGGGGGCCCGGTGACCCAGCCCCCGGGCAGCAGCGGGGCCGCGTGGCCCGGGGACAGGCGGAAGAGCTTGGCCCAGCAGCGCGGCGGCACACGGGGGCTGCAGAGCGCCGGGTAGAGGCCCAGCAGCGCCAACGGGAGCGCGACGCCCACCTCGCCCAAGCGCAGGCCTAGCTGGAAGGCCCACCAGGGCCAGGGTCCCTCCAGGCCAGGTTGGCCGCCATAGCCCAGGGCGTGCAGCACTTCGTAGCCCTGCAGGGCTCCGCTCAGCAGCCCGAAGGTGCCCGCCACCGGGGCTGTGCGGGCCGCGCGCCGCCAGGACTCGCGCGGGGCGAAGGGGCTGCGCGCCTGCGGCAGAGGGGTGGCGCCCTTGAAACCAGACCCTCCCAGGGGCGCTCCGGCCCGCCGCCGCCTTCCCCCCCAGCAGGAGAGCGCCAGCAGGAGCCCAGAAAGGAGGGCGGCGAGGAAGGCGTGCAGTCCGCGGGAGGCGAGCCGCAGGGGCCGCAGCGGGCGGTGGGCCGCGCTCCCGAGGGCGGCGGCGGCCGCCAGCCCCAGCCCCAGGAGCAGGAGCGCGGCCAGCCCGGCGGGACACCGCGGCGGGCGCGGCCGGGCCAGCAGCAGGCAGGCCAGGCCCAGGCCGGCGGCCAGGCAGGGCAGCGGAAGGTCCTGCAGCAGCAGCCAGGCGAGCGGGGGCAGCCGGTCGCGGTGCCCATAGGCGTCGTAGAAGAGCGGGAAGGCCCGCGTGGTCCCGGCCGACAGCAGGAGCAGGTCCAGCAGCGCCAGGCAGGGGGCGCCTGGCGGGCAGCGCCAGGGCAAAAGGGCTAGGGCCAGCAGCGCCAGCAGGGCCACTAGGCCGAAGAGCGTGCCTACCCCGTACACGTGGGCCTCCCAGGCCAGCCCCCAGCGAGCTCTGGCCTCTGCCCAGTCGGCCTCCAGGGTCAGGAAGAAGAGGGCCCTCGGGGCCACAGGAGGCTGCCCCTCGCGTTCAGGCAATTCTCCCACGCTGCAGGACCCTGGCCCACACTCTGGCTGCACGGAAGGCTTCCCAAGGCTGGCAGGAGAGGGGTCATCCGGGCCAGAGGTGGGCCTGGTGGGGTCTGTGGGCAAAGAACGTTTGTCTGAGGCAATTATGCAGCCCTCCTCCTCCCCTCCCCACAGCAGGTGACCTGTATACCAGTCAGAGTCTCATAGCATCTAGGACACCCTTGTCTGAAATACAAGGCTCACCCTCTCAGCTGCTCGCCTTCCCCTCCCCATCAAACTCCTCACACAACACTTTCAGCTCTCATCCCTTCCCCCCATCCCTAACCCACCCCCCACCCCCGCCCCCTGCTTTGTTCGTTTCCCTTCATCACTCTGTGATTGTACTGAAAAGAGTTTTTAAGAAGCCACAGAACTTTACAACCGGAAGCACCTGGAGAAGCCCCCTCTAGTTCAATCCTCTGACGAGAAAAAAAGCTTGATGAGAACAAAGATTTTTGTTTGCTTTGCTCACATCTGAATCTCCACACCTAAAATGGTACCTGGCCCAGAGTTGGCACTGAGCAGATATTCCCTGAATAAATGAATCCTCTTTTTGCCCCATGAAAACACCGAGGCTCTACAGAGAAGCGAAGTGACTTGTCCAAGGTCACAGATCGGCAGAGCTGCCACTAGAATCCAGATTGAGGGGCGCCTGGGTGGCGCAGTCGGTTAAGCGTCCGACTTCAGCCAGGTCACGATCTCGCGGTCCGTGAGTTCGAGCCCCGCGTCAGGCTCTGGGCTGATGGCTCAGAGCCTGGAGCATGTTTCCGATTCTGTGTCTCCCTCTCTCTCTGCCCCTCCCCCGTTCATGCTCTGTCTCTCTCTGTCCCAAAAATAAATAAACGTTGAAAAAAAATTAAAAAAAAAAAAAAAGAATCCAGATTGAAGCACCAGTCTGAGCCTCTTCTCGTGATTCCAGAGCTTTTTCATGACACTGATTTGCTTACCTCTTATTCTGTGCCCCTGACTCCCAACTCCCACCTTGGTGCTAAGAGAAGCTTCCCTTGCCCCTTTTCAACTGCCTCCCCCTTTCTGTCTCTTCAGGAATAGCCCCTACACACACATGCATGCAGGCAGCAGGGGGAGAGGTAAGACATTCCCGTCCCCAGCACCTGAGGAGAACACAACCTTTCCCATCCACAGGCCTTCCTGTCTGCCACACCCCCAACCCTTGGCTTACTCATGGCCATCGTCCCCATCCTGACTCAATCACCAAGCCATTGGTCTAAGACTCTTAATATATAAGCCACTTCAGTTCTCCATTTTATAGGTGACATTGACATGGACTCCCCGGGGGGTCTCAAGGCTACCCTTGAACTCCCAGGAAGGAACCACTGGGAAGATCATAGTGGGATAAGGTGCCATCTTCGTGAGTGAGCCCCTCAGGTGCCCTAGGGTTTGCTAACTTAGGCCCCTAGCCCCACTCTGTGCACCAACACCTTCCCCACCCTCCCTAGGGAAAGGGAAGTCAGGTCAAAGAGGGTGAGGAGTAAGATCCCTAATTTACTTTCCTGGAGCAAGAGAAGAGTTGGAAAGAGATCCAAGGATTCTTCCCACGGCCAAGCAGCAAAAGAAGATGCTTCAGGCTGAACCTCTCCCTACTCCACCTAGCAAGCTCAGCAGAACGGCAGCTGCAAACACTATGGAGGGAGAAACATGGTGGTGAAGGATGGAGACACCCTGGTGAGGAGGGGAAGGTGCACAGGAGGCAGATGCAGAATGAGGGAGGGCGGGTCTTCTGACAGCCAGACCCCTGCCCCAGCAGTCTGGCCGTGCTCCAGCCTTGCCCCAGCTGTACAATATAGGAAGACCCCAGGTGCACTCCCACCCCCAGGCACTGCCAGCTCAGGCTGGGAACATGCAAAACACAGCAATCCTGAGGACAAGGAAAAGGAGTGAGGGGGGCAGAAAGCAGCTCTGGAGAGAGAGGAGGGGAAGATAGAATCAGACAACTGGGGAGGGCAGAGAGGGAGCAGCCAAAAATTAAATATACACAGCTTGCTGCCTACTGCAAATGGCCGTATGTGCCCTGGTTCCTGTTCCATCACATTCCTCAAGTCTGAATTGGGGAAGAGCACCTATTGCATAAGGCTGTTAGGAGGATAAATGGACGACGTGTCCAAAGCTCCTCCGAGTGCCTGGTGCATAATAAGCATTCGAGATGTGATCGTTGTTGGTATCATCATTATCAGCTAATGTTTATCACCGATCAGTCATCGGTTTGTGTCCGCGGGAGTATGACTATTTCTGGCCTCAAACTAGTTCTTGATTTCACTAACGAAAGGCTGCTGTCTCTCAGCACGTCCTAAACTTGCTTAGGAAGACCACCGTTAGTCAAATGAGCAAACATCAATACATCGTTTCACTGTGCGAACCCTATCTGAAGAACACCATTTGGATGGACTGACCACCCCTGAGTGCCTAATGAAGACACAGACAGGAATTAAAAGGGGAACCATTCAGCTGGGATGGCTTGCTCCTCAGGGGTAGGCATCAGTCCCACATGAACAGGTTCAAATACTTGCACCTCCTCCTTCAACCCCCTTCCTTCGTCCTCTCAGATGCTCTTGCCCAACCACTTCTGGAAAGTGGATGAGGTCGCTTGGCGTTTCCTCGGCTTTAGCAGGCTCTGCAGAAAGGCAATGAGACTGTGCCCGGGAGCCCCACAGCCTGAGCCAGCCTGGCACCCCTCACGGCCTCCTCTTTGCTCACTGTGCAGACAAGTACAGCTCTCAGAGGTCTGTCCTACCTCACCTTCCTCTAGGCTCCACTTCTTACCCAAGGGCCAAAAGAAACCCCATCTGTCACCTCTGTCCCAAAGCACTGTGGCAAGGAGAGCAAGTGTTGAACATTACTGAGAAGCCAGAAGAAAATCAAAAGCAGAAAACAGGCAAAGTGTAGGTGTAGCTCAGGTGTCAGAGGAGGGAGGTCTGAACTAGGAGCATTCCTTCCTTGGGAGACTGGGCATACCCTGTGTACCCGGGGTTGGGCCATGTTGTAGGCAGGGACAGGCAGAGAATACCCAGCTTCTGTCTTTGGAGAGTCCATTTGAGCTCATCCCCTGTTTTCCCACTTGAGGCTTGCCCAGAAAGAGCCCTCAGTCTCCCCCAGAGGAGTCCAGAAGATAGTGACTTCCTAGATCCCTCTCTGGAGGAGCCCTCTCTTACAAGGTAGTCCCACTCTGGCCCTGTGGCCCCTCTTGACCTCAGGGGCAAGAAAGGAGATAGGATGTCAATGTGAGTAATTGGTAAGGTCGCAGCTGGCTGGGATGGAGTCAGGGAGAGGGGCCTGCTCGATTTATGGAAAAGTCAGGCCTGATTATCTACCAGCTGCCCAGATCAAAGGGCTGGGGAATCTCTCTCTCCCAATAGAAGCTGTGGTCCATTCAGCGGCCTGGCCCCATTCCTCTCCCCACCCCCACCTCTCGGATCATAGAAGATTGATCCTCTTTGTAAGGGTCGCTGGCATTTGAAATACTGGACAACTGTAAAGGGCACAGATGGCAGCCAATCAGAATAGATGTCGGCCAGGGTGTCCGGGGAGTGGAGGGCAGCGAGTGCTCAGGGGGCTAAGCCCAGTGGGTACTTATCAACTGGTAGGAAAGCCTTGCAATATGTTAATGACCTGCACAACTTCTTCCAGCTGCATGCTGGTTCTGTCCAAGGTGAAGGGGACCCAATTCAAAAGAGAGGTCCTAGAGTCAAAGGTTAACCACACCTAGGTTAGAAAGACCCCAGAGGAGACAGGGACTCCCCTTGTCCCCTAATACACTGCTGGCTTGAGCAAGGCCCCTTGGCCTTCTCTTCAAGGGGCCTGTCGCCCTCCTGGGTTTATCTGAGAGAACTAGCCAGGAAGAGGCTGAGTTCCTGCAGCCGTCAGTAAGGAGGGGGGAGGGGGTGGGGCAGCGAGCTGCGCTTCCTCTGATACTGTCCAGACTCATTAAACCTGCCTGGCCAGCACTGTCACCGAGGCTGACAGACCGCCAGCCAGCATCCTTCCCCCGGGGCCACAGAGCCTGCCCCCCAGCCCACAGCAGGTCTCTGAATGGGGAGGGGACAGCAGCCTCCTCGCCCACATGCCGGGAGCGCAGTGACTGCTCCGGAGTGAGCTACAGTCAGGTGCTGTGTTAAGTCCGGAACTGGAAGGAGCTGGGGGACCAGTGCTTTCCACTGCGGAGCTGGTGCCTACTGTGAAGGGCTGAGTGGATTCACAGCTATAGTAAATGCTTTGCAGAACAAGGCTGGGCCTAGGGGTCCCTCTTCGTGGCTCCCTTGGCCTCACCTACCGGAGCCTGAGAGTGCTCTCTGCCCTGTGGGTCATGGTGGCCATCACATCTTGGCGCCAAAGTTGCGGGGTCAGAGAGGTAGGCTCTGGAGGTGCATCTGGGATGCAGTAAAGGCAGAACCAAGGTTAACAGCTACTATTTAAGAAACTTCAACTTCATGCCCAGCCTCATGCCAGGAGCTTACATGCTCTGGAAGCTTCACAATAACAAGATAGGTACTATTATTAAGCCCTAGATACTCGAGCAAATTTAGGCTCAGGAAGAGTTAATAACTTTCCCGAGGTCACCCAGCCAGTTGGTCAGTGAACTGGGATTCTGAGCCAAGTCTCAAGATTCCAGAGCCCCTAGTCTTTCCTCTGCACCACCAGCCTGTCTGGGTGCATGTTCTGAAAGACTCCTTTAAATAAGGGTGGCGTCTGTCTGCTGAAGGTCTTCTCTTCACTGTCTTCCCAATGAGGGGCCCAGTTCTGCCCATATCTGACAACATGTCATGTCAGATCAGACGGCAAAGGAGAGAGCCCAAGGTTGGGGCGGGGGGTGGGGGGGTGGGGGTGGTGGAGAGGCAGGCCAGGCAGACTGGAGTGAAGGGTGGAGTTGGTACTGAGGCTGTGGGAAATCATGAAGGAGTCCCTGTGTCTGTCTGCCTCTGATACATTTGTCTACATCCTGCGCTGCCTGTGGTTGCAAAACTCCCGGAGGACCATTACTTAACTCTGTGTGGGACCGTCCCCAGCAACACTTGTTCTCAGACCATTAATATGTATCGCCATGGTGACGATGAAGAGAATGGTGATTATGATTATGATGGCAACGAAATAAAAGAGCCCCAGAACGCCAATGAGTGGCTAGCATGTAGTAACTGCTAAATAAATGTCACGTGCAAGTGAACTGGACACTTACCTAGTGATGCTGTTGCAACCGTGACAGACCTTAGGGAAGCGGCTGGGTCCAAAGGGCCTGAGCTTGGGAGCTTTCTCTCCAGGGGGGTTGGGGGTGGGGACACAGTGGTGCCAAAGAACCCTGCAAAAGGAGCACGTGGGGTTCAAGCACTGTCCTGCCAGCCAGTCTTGGCAGTTGGGGCTTTGGAGAAAATCCTGTCCTTCCCCAGATCTTGCCCTAAGGGAGCCAATGTATACCGAACAGGAATTGTAGCCACATGTACGCTGGGAGGTAAGCTTCAAGGACCAAATCAGACTCAGTATGGCAAAGAGGGCATTTCCCCATAGGAGCAGTGGCCCGTGTCCCAGGCCCGGGTGGGGGGAAAGCAACACAGAGTCAAAGAAGACAGGGAGGTCTGAGTAGGCCCCTAGCACAGTGCCTGGCACATAGAAGTATGCCCTAAGTGTTTGTTGCAACAAAATAAACACTCACCTGGAGAATCGGAAACTCTAGAGGCAGAGCTTGGGGATCGAGTGGGGCCTAGAGGGCTTGGGCCTGAGAAGTTCCGCAGCGGGGACAGAGTAGTGCCGAAGAACCCTGCAAAAGGAGCCCGGGCTGAAGCTTCCTCCTACCTGCCAGGCTGCCCGGCAGGGGCTCGTCTCCAGATGGGGTAGGTACTCACCAAAGGGTCCCAGGCGCCCAGCAATCTCTGCCAGGCTGGCCCGCAGGCTGGGCAGCAGGGGCAGCGTTCGATGCCCGAGCGTGGGGGCTGCGCCTGCTCTCAGTGCCATGTCAAACTTCAGCTCCAGCTCGCTCTGGCGGAGCCTGGGAGCACTGGATGGAGGTGCCGTAGCTGTCAGAGCAGTGTCCCAGGTGACAGTGCCCATCCCGGGCTGATAGGGAGCAGTGGGCCGGTCAGTGGGCCCAGAGAGGGGGAATGTGGACTCTGGAGACTGGGAGGAGGCCCAGGGCGTAGAGCTGCCTTCAGCAGAGCCCCACTCCGGGGGGGAGTTCCCAAGGGAGCCCACCAGCAGTTCCCAAATGGGGTCGGTCCTCAGCCCCCTGGCCACCTCTTCCTCTGGCTCCCGGCTGGGCCCAGGAGAGAGCGGCTGGGTCTCTGTGACAGAGATCCCCCAGGCAGCAGCAGGTCCCCGAAGGTGGAATTTGAAGTTAAGTCCCAGGTTGAGAGACAGCATAGAGGCCTCACTCCGAGGTGGTGGGGTCAAAGTGGTGAGAGGGACACCCGAGACGGAGGAGACAGGCTGGGGGCCCACAGGAACAGCAAGCAGGACCCAGCAGAACAGCCCCAGACAGCCATGCCCTGCCATGGCCCCACCTGGCCTTGGGTGGTGGCCTCAGTGGGCAGGGGGCTCAGTTCTTCAGCACCTTTTGAGCTTGAAGATCCTGGAGAGAGGAGAGGCGCTATATGAGCGCTCGCTGCCTGGGATCAGATGCCCCAGAGAGAGGTTGCTGATCACAGAGAAGCAGGTGGTGGGGACAGGACGCAAAGGGCTCTGCCCAAGGAGAGTTGCCAGCTCCTCCCTCCATTCAGGACCAGAACAGATCTCTTCCCCGCGGTTCTCCTTCTCTTCTAGCTAAAGCCCCTCTCCCAAAACCCCTGCTCCCCAACCTGCTCAATCTGGGGGCTGCGGCCTAAAGGCAATCAGCCGCCCTCGTTCTCCCTGATAGCTGGGGGGGGGGGCACTCAGACTTCCCGACTCAGATCCTTTCCCTCCCTCTCTTCTGTCTCGCCTCCTGTCCTCCCTCAGATATTTATTGAGGCCTACTACGTGCCAAGCACCCTTCTGCTAGTACAACTGTGAGCAAGCAACACTCATGGAGAAGCCTCACGCTGCTCCCACCCCCCACCCTGGGCTCCAACCTGAGATGTTGGCACCCTCTCTCACTCAGACCCCAAAGAACACAGGGCCCTGGGAGGGGCAAAGCGCAGAGCCCAGCGATCAGGCTGAGGTGGAGAAGGCAGCCAGGCTCCCGCCAGAGAGGCAGGGTGCCCTGGTCTGGCAGAAGCTGTCCCTTCGGCCTTTCTCCTCTTTCTTGGGGCTTGGCCTGCTCCCTTCCCCTTAACCCTAGAAGCATTTGGGGGGAGGGGCAGCTTGGCCAGCTCCGGCTTCCCGGGGAAGATGGCCAGGCAGGCAAGCCCCGCAAGGGGCTGCTGCAGCCGCGTCCTACCTCCTCCCTGAATACCCCCTCCATGAACACACATCTGGTGGGGGAAGGGGAGGGTGAGCCAGGGATACACGTGCACCCGGCCCCCTTACATCACACACAGCCACACCTAGCACCCGTGACACACTCACCCTTCACACACCCCTGCACACACACGTGTGCACACACCCACATCCGATTCTGCCAAGCCCCCTCCCTCTTACCACGGGTTCAGACCCAAGCTCTGTGAGCTCCCAGCCTCCTCTCTCTCTCTCTCTCTCTCTCCCTCTCTCTCTCTCTC